TGAACCAAGGGCTGATCGTGAAGAGCCACGGCATCCGCCTGCTCGAGGCGCAGATCGCCACCGGCGGCATCATCGACCCCGTGCACAGCCACCGCATCCCCGTGGAGGTGGCCTATCAGCGCGGCTACTTCGACCGCGAGATGAATCAAATCCTTTCTGATCCCAGCGACGACACCAAGGGCTTCTTCGACCCCAACACCCACGAGAACCTCACCTACATGCAGCTGCTGGAGAGATGCGTCCAAGATTCAGAGACTGGGCTGCACATGCTGCAGGTTGTACAGGAGGGAGGGAGGTACTTCTACATCGACGAGGGCACGAAACAGGTTTTACGCTCAAAAACCATTAAAGTGGAAGTGGGAAGGTTTAAGGACCAAACAGTTTCCATCTGGGAAGTTCTCTGCTCTCACTACTTCTCCGAGCAGAAGAGGAAAGAACTGGTGATGCAGTACAAGTGCAAAACCCTAGCTCTGGAAGAGCTTATAGCCCTCATCTTGAAAATAATTGAGGATACAGAGCAGCGAGCAGAAGCCCTGAAGGTTAGAGGACTCCGTGGGGATGTATCGGTGTCAGAATTGTTTAACTCCGAGATAATCGACAAGAAAACTCTAGATCAGCTGCAGGATGGAACTCTCACACTTGTCAGCCTCACCAAGAGGGACTCCGTCCAACGGTACTTGGATGGCACCGGCTGCATCGCCGGGGTTCTACTGCCATCCAGGAAAGAGAAGATGAGCATCTACCAGGCCCTGAAGATGGGTCTTCTCACGGAGCAGTGTGCCCTGGGGCTGCTGGAGGCACAGGCCGCTACCGGCTTTCTCATCGACCCACTGGAAAACAGGAAGCTCTCGGTGGATGAGGCTGTCTCCGAGGGTCTGGTGGGCAGCGAGCTGCAAGAGAAGCTGCTCTTGGCCGAGAGAGCCGTCACGGGCTACAGAGATCCTCAGACGGGGAATAAAATACCCCTCTTCCAGGCCATAACGCAAAAGATAACAGTCAAGGAACATGGCACACGTCTGCTCGAGGCTCAACTCGCCACCGGCGGCGTCATTGACCCTGAGCACAGACACCGCCTGCCCGTGGAGGTGGCCGGCCCCGGGGGGGTGCCCTACCGCCGTGGCTGCTTGGATGATGATATGTTTCTGCTACTTTCTGACCCAGATCACGGTGTCAAAGGTTTTATAGACCCAAACACCCATGAGAAAATCAGTTACAGTCAGCTCCTGCAGAGATGTTCCAAAGACAGAGACACCGACTTGTACCTACTGCAGGTCATGGAAAAAGTGGATGACTACTTCTACATTGATGAGCGAACAAAAAATGCCTTATTGTCCACAAAGGTCCAAGTGCCTGTTGGAAAATACGAAGGACAAGTGCTGTCGCTGTGGGAACTTCTCTGTTCTGAGTACATCACAGAGGAGAAAAGAAAAGAACTGGTGAAAAAATATAAAGAGGAATCCAACCACATCATACAGGACATAATTGATATGATACTAAAGATCATCAAAGAAAAAGAAGAGAACAGAAGCGATGTCTGGTTCCAAGGGATCAGACAACAAATAACGGCGTCGGAACTTCTCAGTGCACAGATAATCACAGAGGAAACAATGGAAAAACTCCAAGAGGGAAAGGAGACGGCACAAGAAATAGCGCAAATGGAGAGTGTGAGGAGATACCTGGAGGGAACTGGAAGCATCGCCGGCGTGCTGGTGCCCTCCAAGGCCGAGCCGGGCAAGCTGGAGAAGATGAGCATCTACCAGGCCATGTGGAAGGGCATCCTGCGGCAGGGCACGGCCCTGGTGCTGCTGGAGGCGCAGGCGGCCACCGGCTTCGTCATCGACCCGCTCACCAACAGGAAGCTCTCGGTGGATGAGGCCGTCTCCGAGGGGCTGGTGGGCAGCGAGCTGCAGAAAAAACTTCTTTCTGCAGAAAGAGCAGTGACCGGCTACAAGGACCCCTACACAGGACAAAAGATCTCCCTCTTCCAGGCCATGAAGAAGGAGCTCATCGTCAAGGAGCACGGCGTCCGCCTGCTCGAGGCGCAGATCGCCACCGGCGGCATCATCGACCCCGTGCACAGCCACCGCCTGCCCGCGGGAGCCGCCCAACAC